TGGTTAATTGGCAATAAGAGTCTTAAAGATTTGGTTGCCTGGGCTGGCTTTGAACAGTGATCCTCAGATCTCAGCCTCCTGAGTAGCCATAGCACTTGGTCTCCCACTCATCATACCTAATCTACCTTGCTGACATAGCTGTCTTCACAGCTATACTACCTGCCCTATTAGTTACTGCATGTACTGGGGTTTGAACTCAGAGCCTCATAGTTGTTAGATAGATGTTCTACTACTTGAGCCACCCCTCCAGACTTCTTTTAGTTATTTTTTTCAGGTAGGGTCTTGAGTTTTTGCCCTAACTCAGACCCTTCTACCTATTCCTCTTACCCTCTATGACCCTCCTACCTATTCCTTCCTTCTAGCTGGGATCATAGTCACTTACTTCCATGCTCAGCTTATTGATTGAAATGAGGTTTTGCTAACTCTTTTGCACAGGCTGTTAGTTTTCAGGCAAGATCTCTATTTTTGCCTTCCAAGTAACTGAGATTACCATTGTTCCCTGTCTAATTGCTGGCTTTTTATTTGTTGCTTCTTCCCTCTACTAGAAATTATATTGTGTGACAGCAGGGACTTTGTCTTTTAGTTCCAGCACCTAGCACTGTGCCTGACATATATCAGATACTTGATAATTGTTGCATGATAAATAATTGATGCAACTAGATTTGCATCCCAGGAGTCAGTGTCCCTGGCTATACTCCATACTGTGAAGCCTCTGTCTGAGGCCCCTGTCCCCTGGATACCAAGTTCCTAGAAGAACCGTGAGGAATGCTGATCACATTTGTGTGGTAGCAGTCCTCCTACTAGAAACTGGTGTGAAGGGAGGGGCTGGATGTGTAGGTTATAGGGGAGGCCCCAGAAAAAGTACAAGGACAGTGAAGGTTGGAATCTAGCCTTTTTCTTCTCTCTCTTTTTTTCTTATGCTGGTTCTAAGGCTTGAACTCAGGGCCTGGACACTACCCCTGAGCTTCTTTTGCTCAAGGTTAGTGTTGTACTAGTTGAACCACAGCTCTACTTCCAGTACTTTTTTTTTCTTCCTCAGTTCTGGGGCTTTGATCTTTATCCCTGAGCCTCTCTGTGTTCAAGGCTTACCACTTGAGCCACAGTGTCACTTCTGGTCCTATCTGTTTATGTGGTACTGAGGAATCGAACGCAGGGCTTCATGCAAGCTAGGCAAGCACTATACCACTAAGCCACATCCCCAGCATCCCTCCTCCTCCCCTCGTAGTTTATGGGAGGTAAGAGTCTCACAGACTATTATCCTCCGATGTCAGCCTCCTGAGTAGCTAGGATTACAGGCATGGGCCATTGGCACATGGCTGAGTCTGGACTTTTTATTTTTTGTCTGTTGTGGGGCACTGTCCCTGAGCTCTTCAGTTCAAGGCTAACGCTTTACCACTTGAGCCACAGTGCCACTTCCGGTTTTCTGGTGGTTTACTAGAGGTAAGAGTCTCATGGACTTTCCTGCCTGGGCTGGCTTTGAATCATGATCCTCAGATCTCAGCCTCCTGAGTAGCTAGGATTACAGGCATGAGCTGTCGGCAGAGTCTGGACTTTTTAAAGAGTCCAAGTTGGTGATCTCACCCTGCTTGCAGTGGGGGAGATCAGAACGGGTGTTCAGAGGAGGCCATGTCTGAGCTGTCCTCCAGGCAGCAAAGCGGAGGGAGGTGTGTTCCTGGCAGCAGGGACAGCTTGTACAAAGACCTGGCAGCAGAACAGAATCTACAGTGTGGGAAGTTCAAGTAGTGTGATGCAGTTGGAGTGGAGAGTGGGTGTGGGACATGAGCGCAAAGGTGGGAGAGGGGGGCAGAGAATCCCTCTGGCTCCTGGGTTCAGTGAGAGCTGGGAGGATGCCATTCCCCACCTCTCTAGTGGAGACAGGAAGAAAAACAATTGGGAAGATGATGTTGAATTGGAGCTGAGCTGACCAGGAGCAAGGAGGGGAGGAGGTAGCTAGCTGGGAAGAGTCAGGCTGGAGGCACAGACAGATATAGAGGATGAAGAGAGGCTGAGGTAGATGAGGCCTGGAGATATCAATCTCCACTTTGGGCCAAAAGCTGCCCTGAGAGCAGCTGCAGCCAGGCCAGCACTTCAATACTTGGGGTTTCCCAGGAATGATGGGATGGGTGTACTCACAGCAGGCATCCTTGAGTATGACTTAGCACTAGACTCTTGGGCCTCCCTCCAGGGGACTGAGTCATCTCAGGCGGGGGCAGGAGCTGCAGAGGACACCTCTGCCAAGGCATTAGATGTTGTCAAGTATAAACAGGCTACAGTGAAGTAGCCCAGGGACTTAAGGACCACTTCTGAGTCTTGCCCAGTGGTCTCCACTCACTTGCAGCTTTCTCTTTTGGCCAATCCTCTGCCAGTCATGGTTGCGAGTCCTCTGCCTAGCCCAATAGCTGGTCCCCTGCCTCTGCCTGGTGCTGTAGCATCCTTCCAGAACTCAGAATGAGACCTGAAGACACCTATGACTTCCATGCCTTCTGAAACCAGGAGCTTGCAGACTTGGTAGTGGCAGACACTTGGTGGGATGGGGCACAGCCTGGGAGGAAAAGAAGCTTGTGTCAGGCCATTTCTGAGCCAGGCATCCCATGTGGTTCTACCTTGCATATTGTGGCTGGCTCTTGTTGCATATCATGGCTGGCTCTCATGCATTCTCTCCTCTCTCTCTCTCTCTCTCTCTCTCTCTCTCTCTCCCTCCATCTCCTCTCTGTCTCTCTCTCTGTCTCTCTCTTTTCTCTCTGTCTGTCTCTGTCTGTCTGTCTCTCTCTCTCCCAGATACATACACATCCCAGCTGTACAAAGTGCTCTGTGTCCACAACATCAGCCACTTCCTTACAGAGCCTAGAGAAAAGGCAGGATGGTGACCATCTGTTTGATTTACTTCAGGGTAGCTGAGGTTCTCAGAAGCTTAGCATCCTGCCCAGGCAGCGTAGCCCCATATGGGAAGACAGAACAAGAGCTTTACCCAGTGAGTGAGGACCTGTGTTTGGGGCTTGCAACCTAGCCAGTCCCATGGGAGGTGGTCACAAGACTCCTTGCTGGGACCAGCCTGTCTGTCCATCTCCCTGTTTGAGATCCATGAGACCCATGTTACCTTCTGAGTCAGTTTGTACAGAGCCATTTAGTGAGACCTCAACAGGGAAGGGTTTGGCGAAGCCCTTTGAGTGAGTGCCCTGGAAAACTCAGGTCAGCTGAGGCAGCCTCGAGCTGGTGGGACAGGAGATCTATGGGAAGTTTCATCTTGACCTATGGGACTGTGGATGCATTCCCTTCTCACACCCAGAGCACATGTTCCTCCGAAAAGCATACAAGTGCATACAAACACACCACACACAAAACACACACAGCACAGAGACCACATGCAAAGCTTCTTGTCTCCATGCAGATTTGCTCCTTAGTACCCACACAGTCAGTGTGCTTGGCCCACAGACCTGCTCCGACACATTCTCTCACACTCAGACACACGCCCTTTTCGTCTGCCCTCTCATGCACGGCCTCTGATACCAGGCATTGTCGCCTGGACACGCGGCAGGATCCCCCGGCCTCCCTCCCGACCTGCTTAGTCACCTGAATCTGAGCCAGGCAAGCAGGAGGGAGGGAGGAATGGAGGGCCTGACGTCAGCCCTCACTGCCTGCCCCTGCCCAAGCATCCATCTGGGCCCCAGCTTGTCCCAGACTCACATCTTACTTCTAGGAGCTTCTTTAATGTCTGAGTCTCTTGCAGACATCCATTCCTTTCTATCTTGCAGCCACCTGGGAGCAAGCAAGACTTTCTGTTTTCCCCATCTGCCCATGGGGCAAACTCAAGGTGCCAGGCTTGGGAAAATCCAAGCCTGTCCACAGGCTTACAGCTAGAAAGGGGTACAGCCTAGCAGCCCAGGGCCTAAACTAAGTGACAGGTCTCAGACTTCCCCATCTACTATGGGACCCAAGGCCCTTCCTTGCCCCTTGCTAGGTTCCTTCATTCCCATCTGAGAAAGACAGTAAAGGAAGTTATAGGATGGTGGCCTCTTATGGAGGTAGCAACCTCAGGGAAATCATATGCAAATTTTATGGGCCTGGGTAGCCTGTGGCTTCTGCCTGTGGTGACTCTCATTCCCTTGGTCTCTGCCTGGGACTGGAGGTGGAGGATCTCCCAACTCTGTGCTCCCTAGGCTCCTACAGTCTGGCCCTGGGCTTGTCACTGATGCTGCCTTCCATCTGCTTAATGTGGAGAGAACTGTAATGATCACCTTGCCATTTACTCATTTATTCAACAAATATCTACCAAGCTCTTACTATGTGCCAGGTGCTGCTGAAGATGCCAGAAATATTTATGGAGACAAGGCAAAAGGAGCTGCTCACCTGGTAGTGGGGAGCTAAGCCTGCAAGGGGAGGGGTGGGCGGAAGGAGAATGGCTGATCACCTAATAGGAGGATTCCTGCCAGCTTTGGAGGCTCCTGTCAGGCAGGGTTTCCTCCTTTGCAAAGGAAATTTTCTCCTATTGCCAGGCTAGCTCTCTTTTCTTTTTTCTCTTTTTTCTTTCTTGCTGCCCAGCAGCAGCAGCTTCACTGCCCCTGGGCCCCCACTCATTCAGATCACTGGGTGCCAGGAAGAGGCTCTGACCCATGTCCTCACCCACAGTCCACCTCCAAGCCTGGTTGTGGCATGGGCAATCTGACAAAGTCTGGCATCCTTGGTGGGGGTGGGGGGCAGGTCAAGGCTCAGAGTGGAGAGGGAGCATGGTTGGTCAACAGGCAGGACTAGAAACCAGCCCAGGCTCCACCATGTCAGCCCTACCTCCCTGACATCTGTCACAGTAAGGAATGGGGGTGAGAATTGGAGCAGTCATGAGACACATGTTCTCTAGTTTACAGTGTGGAAACAGAGGAAGTCACCAGCAGACAGGAAGAGCAGAGGGCCAGGAGTCCACTCTTCCTCTTCCGGAGAAGAGGATGAGTCCAGCCCAAGAAGAAGGGGTGGGGACATTGGGCTGGAGTGGCACCAGTACCTAGTCTGAGGCACAGAAGAGGTCCCAGTGTGAGAGTGAGGATTCAGCCAGGGCCAAGGTCATAGTGACAAGTAAGTGGTGTGTGGCTGATGCTGGATGTTGCTTTGGGGTTCAATCTTGGGCTACTGTTTGGCCTGGGACCTGGTTTGTTTTGCAGGAGGTTCTGGGTCAGTGTGAGGCCAGACTAGGGAACATCTCAGCCTGAGAAGATGTGGCACACAGTTTGGCACATGAGCAAACTGAAGGAAAAAAAAGCAAAAGTACAGATGATGATGTCTTGCTTGAAACCCTTAAAGCAGCACCTCCTCCTCCTGTGGACCCTGTCCTGGGCCTGAGGTACCACTGGGGAAGGCAGGGGTGTAGCCAGTTCTGCCTGTGGTCCTGGAAATGGTGAGAGGAGGTAAGAGAGACTGAGCTCCAAGGAAGTCTTTGTGAAGGATGAAAGGCCGGAATATCCATCTGGGAGACCTCCCTGTAGAAAGTAACAAAACCTACAATACCAGTGTGGCCTGTTCATCACCAAAAGGAAGCCATAGTGGAACACTTTGCTGTCAGGGGGTGGGGCTGGTGAATCATCAGGCAGTGTCCCATTGGGCGCTGAGCTGACCCTGGACTGTCTCAGTGCTACTTGGCTTCTAGTCTTCTGCCTGTTTGCTTGTTGTGACTTCAGAGCACCAGATTATCTGCTTCTCTATGAGAGCAGCATAGCAGAAGTGGCTGTGCCTGTTTTGCAGGTAGGGACACTCAGTACTAGAGGGCTGGCATACACAAAGCTAAGTCCCCCGAGATCCTTCAGTTCCCTGGTAGTAGGAATAGACTGTGAGTTTGGGTGCTGGCAGTGTGGGAAGAGGGAGTGACCAGAGCAGAGGCATGGGGGCTGTAGCCACAATGGGAGCAGCAGCTCTCCTGTTGGGACTTGCTTGGCATCCAGGAAGTGATACCCTCTCTACTATCTCCGAGGTTCCCAACAAGGCAACGCAGAGAAGCCCCAACGAAGGTCATGGAGGGGGGCCCAGCTGTCTGCTGCCAGGACCCTCGAGCAGAGCTGGTGGAGCGGATGGCAGCCATCAATGTGACCCATTTGAAAGAGGAAGATGGAAACCCAGAGCCTCCCAGGAATGTTGTGGACTCTCGGCCCCGGGCTAGAGCTGCTTCTGTGATCCCAGGCAGTACTTCAAGGCTCCCCCCAGCACGACCCAGCCTCTCAGCTAGAAAGTTCTCCTTGCAGGAAAGGCCAGCAGGAAGCTGCCTGGAAGCCCAGGCTGGACCTTATGCCACAGGCCCTGCTAGCCACATCTCTCCTCGTGCCTGGCGGAGACCTACCATTGAGTCCCACCATGTGGCCATCTCTGACACAGAGGTTGGTGAAGCAGTGCTCATGAGCCCCCTAGGGAGCCTTCACCATTTTGTCCCTGTTTGTGCCATAGTTATCTAACATTGGTTTAAGCTGGGGAGCTCTTTATCTAACAGTGTGGCTTCATCCCAGGGAAGTTCCATCTCAACCAAGGGTTGCTTCTAGGAGGCCCAGGTCCCCACCCCTGGCCAAGCTTGGGGAATAGGTCCCTTCTTTGTGAACTACTGGCTTGCACCTGTAATCCTTGATATTCAGGAGGATGAGATATGAGAATTCAGGTTCAAAGTCAGCCCAAGCAGGAAAGTCTATTATCTCCAATTAACTATTTTTTTTAAAAAGTAGAGGTATGGCTCAAGTGGTAGGTCATCAGCCTTGAGCAAAAATGCTAAGAAAGAATGCCCAGGCCCCTTTTCTTCCCATTATAGTCCTGCCTCCTAGAGTCCACTCTGGCCTGAGGCATTGTAGCATACTCCTAGCTTCCAGTCTCCTGTGGGCCCTAGCTTTGCCACTTGGATCTACACATGAACTTGGGAACTGAGGCATCCACAGATGTCAGAGACCCGATTTTTGTGTGTGTGTGTGTGGGGCTTGAACTCTGGGCTTTGGCGCTATCCCTCTGCTTTTCAGCTCAAGGCGAGTGCTCTACCGCTTGAGCCACAGTGCCACTTCCAGTTTTCTAGTGGTTAATTGGAGATAAGAGTCTCACGAAGTTTTCTGCCTGGGCTGGCTTTGAACTGTGGTCCTTAGATCTCAGCCTCCTGAGTAGCTAGGATTACAGGCGAGAGCCCCTGGCACCTGGCTTAGAGACTTGATTTTTTTTTTTTTTTTTGTCCCTAGACTTCATGTATCTCTCTTGTCCCTTCACACTCAGTTGCTTCTGGAAACGCTTGCTTGTTGGATTTTCACAGAATAAGGTCTTCTCAATCCCAAAGCCCAGGCAAGAATCAGTGCATTTTTTTCTTTACCACTGAAGGGAGCCCAGCATAGTCAAGGCACCCCCACGCTGGGAAGGTTAGTGAGAACTGAGATTCTGGGAATTATAGTCTAGGGATAGGACTGTACCCTGAACAGGCTCCCATTGTGGGATCCATGTTGTCTCTGGATCAAGGTGTGCCTGATGCTTCCTCTTTTCCCCCAGGACTGTGTGCAACTCAACCAGTACAAACTGCAGAGTGAGATTGGCAAGGTAGGATTGGGCCAGGACAAGTGTAATGAGGGTGGTAGGGTTCTTGTCTTGATATCTTCCTCTTCTTTTGTGGTAAATGGAAATCAGAGCCTAGAATGTTCCAGCCTACATGTGGACAGTTTTGTCCTGGGAAATACCTATCACCAAGAAGAAGATGACTCCTGTTCCTGATTCCCAGGGTTCTAGAGAGAGAGATTAGGAGAGACTGGAGCCATATTAAACCAGGCAAGGGCAAGTTCCCAGGGCAAAAGCATCCCCTCTCCATTGGCTGGAAATGTGTGCTCACGAGTCATCTGGTAGGATGGGGTAGGGATGGGATGCAGGGGCAGGGACCAGAGCTGTCAGTCTGGCCATCTCCTATCTGGTCCTGGGGAAGGCGTCTTATCCAGGTGGGGCTAACCAGTGCCTGTCTACAGGGTGCCTATGGCGTGGTGAGGCTGGCCTACAACGAAAGTGAAGACAGACACTACGTGAGTGTGCAGTAGGAGGGTGGTGTTGCCAGTCTGGGCCCCAGAAACCTGAGTAGTGGGCAGAAGCATTGGGGTGATGATGAGAGCCTGTGACCTCTCAAAGGACAGGTTCCCTGTCCCTAAGGATATGCAAAGGGAATGAGCTTCCTGATCCTGGGGCTGTGCAAGCAGAGGCTGGCTTCCTCTGCAGGCAAGAAGAGTGAGGGCAACCTACACTCAGGTATGACTTATTCCTAACCAGTCTCATGCACGCTCAGTGCCAGTGGCAGATGCCCATTGTGCCTGTCTCAGTCCCCATGGAATCAGCCTGTTCAGCTCCTTGTGGCTGCACATAGTGACATTTATGTCCCTCTCTCCTTAGGCAATGAAAGTTCTTTCCAAAAAGAAGCTACTGAAGCAGTATGGCTTTCCTCGTATGTATCTGTCTGCCCTATTCTTGGGAGCTCTTAGCCTGCTAGGGGAAGAGGAGTGGATCCGCTCATAATTAGTCTTGTTAGAAACAAGAGTAGAGGGAAGCAAAGGCTTGGGAACGGGATGTAGTTGGTGGATTGGGAGGGGATCACCGTCTTGCCTTTTGCAAGTCTTGCTTGAGACAGGTTGTAGGCTGAGGCAAAGCCTGGCTCATAGAACAGTGGTCTGACTCTCTTTCGGGTCACAGGTCGCCCTCCCCCAAGAGGTTCCCAGGCTTCCCAGGGAGGACCAGCCAAGCAGCTGCTGCCCCTGGAGCGGGTGTACCAGGAGATTGCCATCCTGAAGAAGCTGGACCATGTGAATGTGGTCAAGCTGATCGAGGTAGGAGGTTGTGGTAAGCAAGCCGAAGCTAGCATGCATGCCCTGGGTTTAACATGAGGAGTTCCTGGGCAGGGAGGTGCTTGGCATAGATTTAAGGTCCTGCTGAGGGAGCAAGTGTGGCTAGACCCTCTGCCCCCAATAACAATTCAGACTTGGGAAGGACTACAGGAAGGCATGAGGGCCATTCAGATTGGCCAGACGTGTTCTTACGGAGGGTCAGGAGCTGCTGCTCCAGCGGCAAAAATTAGCCCATCCTTCCCACAGGAGGTAAGAAGAGCCAGGTGCCATATTCATGTGGGTTCGGTTACTGCTGCAGTCCCATCCGTTTGGCACCTGTATAGTTGCTGGTCCATATCTGGGGTGGGCTCTGAAGTGTATTAGACATCCCGGGGCTAATAGCGACCAGAAACCTGGGTCCGGACCCCATGTCTCCTCAAACCTCAACCGTGTGTCTTTTTACCAGGTCCTGGATGACCCAGCTGAAGACAATCTCTATTTGGGTGAGCAACCCAGCTTTATTCCTACTGCAGAAGAAAATAATGGTAATAATGCACCCATAGGGTGCTGTCAGAAGAAAATCAGCTAGTATAGGCAGAACATATTACTTATTATCCTTATTAGAGTTGCTGTTCTTTAAGTTTCTCATGCCTGCTTTACAGCTGGTTTAGAAGAGGCCTGAAAAAGTGGGGCAGAAGGAGAACTGGCCTAGGAATTAGAGGACAGGGCTTTAGTCTTTTCTCCTTGTTTTTAGTCTTTACCTGCCTGTCTGCTATGACCTTTAGGAAATTTTCTGGCCAGGGAGTCCAGGGAGCTGGGAATGTGGCTTAGTGATAGAGTGCTTGCCTAGCATGCAGAAGCCCAGACTTCACTCTCATCCGGTTACTTCCTCTGATATCTTGAGACCCTGTCCTGTCCCACCCTGAGTATGTCTCAGTGCCTGTCCCTTCTCCATCCTTAAGAACAGGAATGGACCTTGGCAGTGAATGCTGTGCCAGCTTAGCTATATCTTACTTTCTTTTCTTTTCTTTCAGTGTTTGACCTCCTGAGAAAGGGGTGAGTTTCCCATCTGATCAGGCTGGTCACTTGTAATCCAGTTCTCCTTTTTTCCCTCCCTGTGGCCCCCAGCCCAAGGGCCAGCTACTTCAGGAGATATCAGAGTATTAGACCTTGCCTTCACAAGCTCTGGTCTCTGTGGTAAATAAGAGACTAAAAGGACTTTTCTTTTGAAGTCTGGTGGGGGTTGCAGGCTGGAAGTCAGAGAGGTCTCTGGAAAGAGGTGTGTGTGTGTGTGTGTGTGTGTGTGTGTGTGTGTGTGTGTGTGTGTGTGTGTGTGTGTGTGTTCATACCCCAGGCCTTGAAAAACTGAGGAGATTGTTTGGATGGAAGAAGGGGAAGAAAGCAATGTTTTTAAGCAAAGTATAGAAGTGGATTCAAATCACAAAAGCATTTTTCAAGTTTTACTAAGTGAGAATTTATGAGTAGAGTGCGTGGGACTCTCTTTGCTCCCATTTATGAGAGGAAAAGTTAAGGAGCACTGGATAAATGGATTGCTCAGGGTTATAGAACATATCGCCATGGAGCTGGATGGACTGGGAGTCCTTTTGAAGGAAAGCTGTATCTTGTCTCTGTTTGGGGCTTTCTTAAAGTTCAGTTTGGGGAGGGGGACAAGGAGTGGTGTCTCTTGAAGACCCAGAGGTTTTTGCCTCCATTCAAAACCAAGAAATATATGTGTATATAGCTATCCATCTCTGTAATGGAACCCTATCTATTTTAACTATTGCAGTTGCCACCCAGTAAATTGATTTCATGACTCTGTTGGATTCACAGTTTGAAAAACAATGTTTTAAATGGAATCTTTGCAATCGTTTGATTATAGATACTTTTAAATGCTTAGAAGACACATAAACCAAGGGAAAATAAGATAAAGCTGATTGGAAATTAGGATTGAAAAGTGATATTTTTACATTTTCATGACATGAGAACAACCCTAATATCAGGTTAGCAAGGGGGCTCTGGAGGTCGTGGGGGCCCCTAGAGGTCATGGGGGGCTGTGTAGACACACACACACACACACACACACACACACACACACAGCTCCTCCAATCCCCCTGAGCATCCCTCCCCTGCTCCTGCCCCCCACCCCCCCAGGCCGGTCATGGAAGTGCCTTGCGACCAGCCTTTCTCCGAGGAGCAAGCTCGCCTCTACCTGCGGGACGTCATCTTGGGCCTCGAGTACTGTGAGTGTGGGCGCCCGCCTTCTGGGGTTGGAGCTGGCAGAGATCATCGGGAGCCTGCCTTGCCTAGGTTCAGTAGCAGCGCCTAGGTTCGGCAGGCCCGGTGGCTCTTTTGCCCAGAGCTGACCTGCCAATCAGCTGTCACGGAGGCCGGCGGGGTGTATGGGCGGGGCCATGGCTCACTTCACTGGGCATGCGCCAAGTCCCTTGCGCCTCCGGGGTGTTTTTCCCTTATCTTTCTTCCGAGGCCAAGTTTAGCCTCTCCCTAGGCCTCAAAAGATAAGGGATGAATGAGATTTACGCCCTGCTGCCTGGGAAAGAGTGTGCCTGGCACAGTGCCCGTTTGTGAGTGGTGGTAGGGTGGGTTTACCCTTAAGGTGAGGAGAACTGGCCGGGGGTGGGGGGGAAGCGATGCCACCGCAGCTTCTATGTCAGGAATTAGTTGACTCATTTGCTTATTTATTTCGTTTCCTTCATTCACTTATAAGTACCATCTCTGTGTTGGGGTGGAGATTCCCCCATCTGACTCCAGGAGTCTCACATCCCAGAACTTAAGTAGGCAGATGTTTTGGGGTGGTGCCTGGCAAAGCTGGGGAGGTCCTGGGGGCAAGGGAGGATAGAGAGCAGTTCCTTTTGGTTGACTCATCCAGTGGGCAGGAGATAGTGATTGATGAATGATGCTGGACACTGCCCAGGTCACACCGGGAGGTCTGGGAATGCCTCTGCAGGATGTGTATGACTGCTGCCTGTTGTGAGGCCCCCTGCTCCAAGCAGGGGAGGGGCACGGTGGGATTGGAGTCTTCATCCATCTGAATCTCTGGCAGCTGGGTGGAGGGTGATAGACGGCCAGCTGGCCAAGGAGAAAGCTATTTCTATAGCCCAAGTGACAGATGGTGGAACTGGGATTAGGGTAGTGGCAGTGGGGGAGGGATATGAAGGAGGCAGGGTGGCCACGTGGGGTGACAGGTGTATGTACAGGAGGTGCTCCCAGACATCTAGGATTCCAGCCTGGGTTGGGGACTGTATGTAATGCCTTTCTGTCTAAAATCTTGGCTTTTTGGAACCAGATTCTCCTTAGGGGAAAAGGGTGGAAGCCTAGCAGAGGTGTGACCTATAGGAACAGGAACAGGAACAGGACCAGAGCCTCTGATATCCTCAGCTTAATGAGGCACGTGGAGGAGATAGTCTATAGCAGGGCCTAGAGTTGTTTGGTGGGAGGGGAGATTTTGCCTTGGCTGTGGTCAGCAACAGGCACAACTCTACCAAACTGTGGCTCCACCTTCTTTTTTATTTGAATCCTTCTCATCTGCCGAGGGCCTGTTGTCTGTCATCCTCTAGCCCCTGAAAAAGAAAGGGCATCCTTGTGTGGTTCTTGACTAAAACCTCTTCAAGACCCAGCTGATCACAGTGAAGTAACTCTCTGGAGCTGGTGGTTAGTAGGAGGGGTTTGATAGGTAGATGAACAGACCCTGGGGTGCTGTGATTCTGGCCCAGGAAGGAAAACTGAAGCTGCCCAAGATCTGATTCTCAGATGGGGTCAGGTGCATCAGGGGAGGTGATGAAATGCAGTTGGATCTGGGAGTGGGGAAAGGATATCTATATATCTATCCATAGATCTAGATCTATCTATAGATAGAGATATTCCCTTATTGCATTCTTTCCTTTTCTTTCTTTCTTCTTGTCTCACTGTATATATCCTATGCTGGCCTCGATCCTTGATCCTCTTACTGTAACAACCTACAAGTAGCTGTGATCATGCCCAGCTTAGAATATATTTTGAACTTAGAGTTTCCAGTGCTACTTGATGTGAGGTCTGCAGGGAGGAGAATCTTTAGGTTTCTGAAACCTGGTGACATGATGTCTTTAAGGAATGAGAAAGACTTGGGGTGGGGGGACATGGGCTTTCTCTTTTGCTTGCATTTGTTGGTGGTGAGGGTTGCAGACAGAGAAGCCAAAATCTGTTTTTGTTTTTTGGGTCTGGTCGTGGGGCCTGAACTCTGGGCCTGGTCACTATCCCTCAGCTCTTCAGCTCAAGGCTAGCACTCTACCACCTGAGCCACAGCGCCACTTCCGGCTTTTTTTTTCTTTTTGCTTATGTGGTGCTGAGG